TCATGGTAAACTGGCCAACTGAGATAAATGTTGTTTGACGTCATCCTCTTATTTATAGAAAGGTAATATTTGGGCATGGAAGTGCCTTTTCATGTCAGATTCAAAGTACAAACACTCCACAAAATGCACACACACACACACAGATGTGCCGACTTGTATAAATGTGATGAGATGTGCTTAGAAGACATACAGACAGAGAGACAGACTCAGCGATTTATTTGATCAGGTTTTAGGAGACCTATTGCTGATGAAAAATAAATTAAGCTTTGATTTGGATATGCTAAGGGAGGATTCTCACTTGTTTCTTCAAAAAACAATCCTACAGCCAGGTATTATACTTTGAAACATGTCTTTCCTGTCGGAATATCTGTTTTTGTTTTGGTCTGTGTGATTCCGCCCACTGCCAATTTACCCAGTAGTATTTTGACACCCAGGGTTGCCACTTGGCAGAAAACACATCGCAAATTAACTGGGTCAGAGATCGTTGATTCTACCCGACGTAAAATCAACTTACAACAACCTAGCTTTATTGCCTTCCACTGTCAATTGTGCTCATTCCTCTTATGTGTCCTCAATCTGGCACAAGATGCCTCAATCATGCCATTGTGTGATATAAATTTAATTTACAGCAATACCATATTTGGAAGATGTATTGTGAAGTTTGTGTGCTGGCCTAACATAAATTGCATGAAAAACGACAATGTTTCCTAAATATCTACAAGCATGTGATATTTTTAATGCTTAAGTACATTCAAAAAATAATATACAGCACCTTTAAGTTTGACTTTGCTGAAGTCAGGGAGTGCTAAACCTTCATAATAGGATGAAGCAGAGATCCTCCTGTCATCACAATTTAATGGAAAGAATGACAAATGGTATCAAATCTGCAAAACAAATCTGAATCTCATGTACATGATGGATCTCAAAACAACAATTAGGAATGAGAATGGCTAACTAAAGAACAACCACATGCCAGATTTACTAAACCACCTTAAGAATACATTTTTTTTAAGTTTTATTTTTCTAACTTAAGTACAAAGTTAATAATATTTTGTATTCCCAAAAACGTTTTTTTAATAATGTCCTGATCCCCCCCCCCAAGAACACCTAAGATGAATTTGAATTCCATGTTTTTGAAAAACGCCATAAATAACCCCTACAAAGTTAGAATATCCTAACTTGTCTTAAATCCCCCAGGTATGTCTAATGAATTTATCGCGATGTGTTCACTCTAGCAACATGCTCATACACATACAGAAAATATCTATATACAAATAAATATTGCAGTGTTTCCAGGAAAGAAATATATAAACTACTGATGTAACTGGGCCTGCAGAAAACGCCCACAGATCCTTGCTGACACATACTTGAACCAATAAAGTCCTACTCAAAAGGAGGTGCTACCTTTAATGCAGAGGTTAAAGCACTTACATGAAAGTTGTGTTTTTCTGCTTTGCTATGGTGAACCATTAACTACTTATACTTCGCATGAAGATATGCTGGTAGTACTTCATAGTGCAACAAGTACGGGGTCAGAGAGAGGTGAGAACAACTGACGTTCTGCAGAAACACGGAAAGACAGTTAACTGTTAATACCAATAAGTTATTTTTATAGTAACGAAATCAAAGGCTGAAATGCATGCTGAAGATAAATGATACTCTACTAGTTTGTCACTAGTATAGCGTGTTATTGTCTCCTGAACATTCTTTTTCCCTTTACTTGACCGCTGAGGCATGCCGTGCACGTGTGTGTGGCTGCAAGTGCACGTTGGTCAAATATGAGAAGAATATAAGAAGTAAATTGCTTTTAGTCAGTAGGGGGAGAAAACACTTCACCCTTCATTCAGACACATTCTATTCTCTCTCTCTCTCTCTCTCTCTCGCTCTCTCTCTCTCATGCTGTGAATGTGCACGTCGACGTGTGCGTGAGTGTTTTAAACAGTTCATGTTACAGGGTAGGGCTCTGTATATCACCAATAGTGGCACTAGTAGTGATCCACATAGCTTCAATATGAAGGAAAAATGCTAAAACCATTTCTCTCTCTTATCTTTCCCCCCCTTTCTCTTTCTGTCTCTCTCTCTCCCTCCCCGCCTTTTTCCATCAATAAAAAATGAGGATTACGCACATCTTCCCCTCACAGTTCTCTCCTATCCTAAGATTTGCGCAGGGCAAACTGTTGAGCATATTACACACAGACACACACACACACAAAATTACATTTATAAAGACATGAAATGGCCTGAAAACAGACTCTCAAAGTTCCTCCAAAAAGACTGACAGATACATTCATAGCCTCTCTCAGTGGCACTCAAGAAGATGGCAGCGCACCTGCGAATACACACAACATACCCGCTTGATGATGTCTTGATGTTTTTGTTTGATGACCGAGCATCACTATGGTGTGCTAGAGAGAGCTTGAGTGTTCCTTGCCTTTGCAGATCCCATTTCCCATTAACTGCATGGCGCTATGCTCGCATGTCATCAGTGCGCCAGTCTTGCTAATATCTCCCACTTTATCCGAGGGCTTTGCAAATCATTTCCTGAAAGTGTGCTCTATCCCTAGGCCAAGGAATTAAACTTTTCTCCTGTGTAGTGGCATTAAAGTGTGGAATTGAAGAGAGACAGTTAGCCTCTTGATATAAACCCATATTATGGTCTGTGGCACAGTGGTAGATGACATGCGTCATGATGCAGGTTCAAATCTGAATCAAGTCTGAAGTCCAGGCCATTATGTTTGGGCTGCAGAGTTTTTTGTGCAGTCAAGTTACAGTCTTCATCTGTATACTCTGTAAGTATACATGACTATGCATAATATTGAAATATTTGAAGTATTAAATGCACATTGTGCTATTACAATACTGTTGTTCACCAATTAATTACCTACCTATTCACCTGAACAGCAGCGGTAGTAATTTTGATTCACCCTTATGACTTGAGTATTTTGAATCTATTCACCAGAAAGATTCATTCAGACATAAAGAATACATAGTTCACAGTAGATGTCGGTAATTGAGCATCTTTTATGTTATGAGTCACTGAATCACTGAATAAAAAGCACCAAATCACTGGAAATTGAAGAGGTCTTATTGTGTTGAAAAAGTTACGATGAAACAGAAGTAGCAACATATTTTTTCTTTCATATTGTGACAAATGTAATGGATTATTGTAAAAGAAAAACGCGTGCAAATTCCTTGCAGGAGTTTGGTTTAAGCAAATTAAATTTTGTTTAAAGTTTAGAGGAACAAAGCAATTTGTCAAATAATATTCACAATACACAATGCTAGGTTTATTAACCAACTAGATTAAGTGTTTTCCTCACAAATATGGAGGCAGATATAATTTTTCCTCCACTGTGTGACCTGCTGAGCATGACTTTTTTTTATCAAGCGAAACAATAAGAACAAAAATCGTCTAAAATTCATGATGGGTTACAATAACATTTTGGTGTCATTATAATAAACTTGACTTGAGTCACATTTACACATCTTTCACAAGATAGCCTTTAAAGGTGGGAAAAGCCTTTAAAGCAGTCACACACTTCAAACTTACTCACTGTTCTCAAAAAAGAGAGACATCAGTGAACAAGAAACACTTGTGACACTGTCACACAGGACACATATTTTAACCTGCTCAATGTATTATAATGATTTTATGTATATTTGCGTTTTAATAGGTTTTCATGTTGTCTTAGCCATTTTATTCCTCTTAAAGGGGTCATATGATGCGATTTTAATTTTTCCTTTCTCTTTGGAGTGTTACAAGCTCTTGGTGCATAAAGAAGATCTGTAAAGTTGCAAAGACTAAAGTCTCAAATCCAAAGAGATATTCTTTATAAAAGTTCAGCCATATCTAAAACGGCTCGTTCTAACAATCCCCCACATATCTACCTCACTATGTGGGAAGATTTGCATAACGCCGCCCAAATGTTCACGCAAAGAAAGAAGGCGTAACTTTCATTCTCACTGTAGTATTGTTGACGCTGCAGCCATGTCGTGAAGGCGCTGTGTGCTTCGTTGTGAAAGCGAAACTACTTTGTTTGGTCTTCCAAAAGAGGAAGATATCCGCTTCGTCATGCCTAGAGCTGATCTGTGCTGGTCGCTGAGGGAATACATCAACTTTCACCGTGGACAAAGCAGAGTCCAGCCCGGGGTTCGTCACATGTGGTTGCCGCTCATTCGTCGCATCCGCCGGACGCGCCGTTCTCGACCCCGCCACCTTAGCTCACTCTATCAAGCCCTGGCGCACGCTAAGCCGGGGCTTCAGCTCACGCTAGCCCGGGCTCAGCTCACTCTAGCCCGGCCTCAGCACACGCTAAGCTGGGGTTTCCCCTCACGCTAGGCCGCTGTGTTTTTTGTTGTGAAAGTGAAACTACTTTGTTTGGTCTTCGAAAAGTGGACACGACTACAAATCAGTGGTTAAGTTGTATTTACAACACTGTTCAAGGACCCTTCAACCCAAATATTCAGATGTGTGCAGCACATTATATGGAGGACTGTTTCCTGATCCTGGAAGAGTAGACTACAATGCCGGCTGTTCTCTGACTCAGAGACTGTAAGTACGTTTTTTATATTTAAAGGATTTGCCACTGACGAGAGAAACAGATAATGTATTTATATAAAATATATATTTATTTGTCAACAGCAATACCCTCTGTCCAAGCTGATTGGCAGTACCCAGACCTGCAACTATAAGTTCGACAACGAGGAGAAGCACATGACCTCTGCCATTTGCACAGAGAAGCACATATTTCTTCCTTTCTCTTACCAGTGAGTGACACTGACATCATATCACTTGCTAAATTTCCTAATGATATGTGTGCATAAATGGAACATCATGATTGAATCACTAATTGATTCATATGCATTTCATTTTCATTGCAGAAATACGTATGGTATCTCTTCTCTTGTTAAACAAATCCTAACTCTTGAGGGAACCAGCAAGATTAATGACAGAGTTTTTGATTATCGTGAGTGTTCCCAGTTTCACTGTTATATCTCAAATAGGTTTGAAAACTTTGGATTTGATTTGTCTGGATAAAGATGATAGAACTGTTGGGAATATGCTGACCATGTTTTTCTTTGTTGTGACTATGTAGCCGTTCACTCACATATCATCCCGCTCTCCAAAATACAGGTTCTACTCACCCCAAACACTTGGCTCTAGAGGCAATAAACGACTGCGTATTATCACAAACACATATCCTATGAATATTAACTTTTGTTATAAACCAAGGTGTATCACATGTGCAGCACATTTTGTGGAGGACTGTTTACTGATCCTGGGAGAGTAACGTTAGACTAAAATGCCGGCAGTTCTGACTCACGTAAGTACATTTTCATTTCAAGGTTTTGCCACTGATGATTCAAACGCGAGTTTTGGACAGTAGAGTAGCACTTGTTGTTTGTCATTTCTCTGATCACAAATGCAGACAGAGTTTTATGTTTACGCGGCGCGATGCAATGCAACACAACGCGTAAAAAGACAATATAAGTTATTATAATCACTAATTAAGTCCCCACTGGATGCAGCAAATGCCTCGTTTGTAATGGGTTTTAATGTTTTTGTTTCATCGCTCCGGCCGGGACACGGCATCAACAGTATGTGAGGGGCGTAACATTTCCATCACACGCTTGAGGTATTCAGCCAATCACAACGCATTGGATAGCTGGCCAATCACAGCACACCTCGCTTTTTCAGACCGATGAGCTTTGTAAAAATCGACGCGTTTCAAAAAGGCGGGGCATAGAGGAGAAACAATAATGTACAGTATGTGGAAAATAATGTGTTTTTTTTTACTTTAAACCGCATAAACACATTTCATTACACCAAATACACAAAATAATGTTCTTTTTAGCAGCATCATATGACCCCTTTAACCATTTTAATGTGTGTATGTCTTTAAATGAGTCTGGGTCTGCCTGCCATGTGACTGATCACGTGACAGGAAATAGGAAATGGACAGCATAAAGGAGGCAGGCATGCCAAATAAGCAGGGTCATTGCTTACGACCAGGGTGTAAATTGGGCCGGGGCCGTCTGGGGTTTGAGCCCCGGCACATTGACTCTGGGGCTCGACATTAACGTTTCATTAACGCCAGACAAGTGAGCATGCTGGGGTAAAAAATCTAAATGAAAAGTTTGTACATTTAAAATACAGTTAGTTAGGCAACATCATACAACGTTTTCACCATTACGGCTGTTTAATAGTTCAATAAACATTTCAATAAGCAAGTACAATAATATTAGGTCACTTACATTTTAGGCAGAAACATAGCTCATCTCACAGAAACCAGCCGATTCATTGCTGAATGATTCTGTGTTCTGAACAAATCGGTTGAGTCAAAGTTGCATTAGCCCATGCATAAACATCTGATGAATCTGCCATTTGAACGAATCGTTTGAATGAACGACTCAATGAATCACTCATTAAACGCTCACTACTGGCACCTACTGGTGTTTTAATTTTGTTTAAATGTATAATTTCCACCATTTCTTGTTTGTATATTCAAAATTATTTAAAATAATCTCATAACATTATTCAATGAATTTGTAGATTAAATGTAAGAATTTGAAATGAAAGATGAAGTATTAATGAGGTTAGGGGGAAAATGCCCTCTATAAAGGTAAAAAATGCCCTTGGATTAAATATAAAAAGCATGCCGATTTATATGTTACAGCTGATAGAAAACTGATAAGAATATTGCTTCAGAATAAAACATATTTTATGATTTTTTAAATGATGATTATTATTATTATTATTATTATTTTTATTATTATTTTTATTATATATTAGTGCTGTCAAATGATTAATTGCATCCAAAATAAGTTTTTGTTTATGTAATATATGTGTGTGTACTGTGTATATTTATTATGTATATATAAATACACACAAATGCATGTATATATTTAAGAAAAATATGTTATATTTCTATATTAATTCTATTTTTATATAATAAAAATTATATAAATATATACTGTATGTGTGTGTATTTAAATATACATAATAAATATACACAGCACACACATATATTGCGTAAGCAAAAACTTTTATTTTGGATGAAATTAATCGTTTGACAGCACAGCGGCCCAGGTAACGGAGCACGTCGTCATCGACCGGTTCCTCCGGGCTCTTCCGAGGACCCACCGCCAGGGGGTTGGGATGCGGAACCCCGCCACCATTACCGGGATTGTTGAGGCTGTGGAGCTGGTGGATGCGGCCCAACACCGGGATGCGGGGAAGCGAGCGCCGCCGTTTCCCCGGAGGGTGGTCCAGGAGTGACATGCGCCGGAGGGCACCCCGCGACCAGTAGTCAGGCCGGTGGCTTCCGCGCCGAGGGATAAGCCCATGCCAACAGAGGTACCCACACCTCCTGTACGGACGTGGCTGGCAGGCTGTATCGTGCACCGTGACCTGCCCGCGGGGGCTTCAGAAGTGGAGGTTAAAATCAATGGCCGCCCGTTCCCAGCTCTACTGGACTCCGGCAGTGTGGTCAGCCTCGTACAGTCCCGTATCCTCGACCAGGTCATGCCATTAGTCTGGGAGCACCTCACCAAGGCCCAGCAGGCGCAGCAGCGGCATTACAACCGAGCCGCCCAGCCTCGAGAATTCCAGTCGGGAGACGGAGTGATGGTCCTTGTCCCCAATTCAGCCTGCAAATTCCTGGCCAGCTGGCAAGGCTCGTATACCGTCACGGAGAGAATCGGTCCCGTCACTTACCGTATCTGCCAGCCGGGAAGGCGGAAGGCAGACCAGCTATATCACATTAACCTGCTGAAGAAATGTGTGGGGACAAGGGACCAGCTCGCCGCCCTCACCACGGTGGAGACGGTGGTCGTGGACATCAACCCGGACCTGCTCACGAGCACTAAGGGCTGATCGGCCACACCTGGGGCTCATCAACCCACCGGCAGATAAGCAGTGTGCTCACCGACGAAGGGTGAGAAGCCTCTCCATGAGACAGCGAACTAACACTATCTCTATTCCGTTCCAGAAAGCACTGAGTGACCGACCGAGCATGGCACCGATTCACCCGCACCTGGACACGACCGAGAGGACCTCAGTGAGCTAGAGCCCCATCACCATACACGTAGTCACCTGTCACTTAATAAATCCACCCTCCGGGGCCTTAACCTAAGCTGTCATTGTCGTGTCATGCTTCCACCCCGCCACAATATATACAGTGGGTACCGTAAGTATTCAGACC